TCTGTTTTTCCAGCACAGATCGCTGCTTTCTTTCTTAATAGAGCTAATCTCTGGAACAAATACATCTGCTTTCTCACCTACATTTTCCCTGTCTTTAAACTCACTACTTTCATTGTCAGAGTCATCACCTTTCCTATATTTTATCACTTGTTTCTCTTTTATTGTTTACCTGCAGTGGGCAGTACACATAACAGTATCAATGCTCTTCTGTATCATGATTTTTCTCTGACTAACAAATTGTCCATTACTCTTTTTATTCAGACTCACTGAGATCATTAGAACAGGGGCACATTAAAGCCAGATTCTGTGGAAGAATGTAACATGGCCAACTTCTTGCTTAATTCTTTCTGTAATTGGGTTTGAAAATTCCCCTAAGCAAGGCTGACTGTGTTCATATTCTCTCCAGAACAATTTTATAGATTAAAAATCTTCCACATTTTCCAACAAAATTACATGTAAGAGTCTATGAAACACATGACCATTTTATCACAACAATGATCACAGTTCTTGGTACCAAAATTTTAAATTAGCGATCCTTCTCATTTGAGTGAATGATTACCCAATAAGCAGCAATTTAAGGGTGACAGTTTCTTGTCATTGTGGTTTTGCTTTTCCTTAAGTTTCAGGAGGGAAATGATGCAGAATAAAATGGAAACCATGATAGAAGGATCACAAGATGGCTGTTAACATTACTCCCACAATCAGTTCCAGTACTCTTGGCCATCGCTACATTTTCAGGTATACTATTATACCAATGGTACATGTTACTTGTCTCTTGGGCCAGGTCCCCATTCCATGCTAGGTTTTCCATGACATACCCTCTATGTTTCTAAATTATTGATTGTAACTTATTCTTATTGTTCACAGTTTAATGAAGAGATTTTGGGGGGGCCTCCTTGGAGTGGGAAGAATATGGTATAAGATGATAAAAGTACAAGACTCATTTCAGTAACCCATTTCCTTCAGCAAGTCATCATCTCCAACTGGGAACAAAGTGTTAAAACACACAAGCATACTGGAGGCATTTCACATTCAGATCACACCAATAATCAAGTTATAACTGATGAACATTGTAAGGATTGAACTTGGAAAGCTAGATCTGCCTAGCAATTAACCCATAACACAGAAAAAAGATACCTCAGTAAGGAAAGACATATCAGGAGATCTGTGTTAGGTATTAGTGATGAAATAGAATTTAGAAGGCAATTAAAAACATAATTTTAAAATGAAATAATTTTTAATAAATAATTAATATGGGACAAAAATTTATTCATTTCCATAATTCAATGTTTTGTTTTGTTTTTTAATCCAGTATATGTGAAGATTTTGTGAATCCATCACTGCTTTCAATTTTAGAATAATCTTTTAATTGTTTCATCTATATAGATATATGACCCATCTGGGTAGAGGGGAGCCCAATTAGAAACTTGTTTGTATGAGATTAGTCTCATGACATGTCTGTGGGCATTGTCTTGAGTGGTAGTTGATGTAACATGACCCAACTTTTTTTGGTGGTGCCATCCAGGGCAGGTGGTTTTAGCCCTTATGTGCACAATCTAATAAGAAGTGCTCATCAATTGTTTCTGCCTAAGTCAGTTTTTGCCTCCAGGTTACCACCTGCTGTCCTTTCTGATTGGCCTCAGAGATTAACTGTAATCTGTAAACTGTCATCATAGAGCTTTTCTCCAGTAACTGATGGAAGCAATGCAGAGATCCAAAGCCAAACACCAGGCTGAGCTCTAGGAATCCAGTCGAAGACAGAGAGCGATTCTATGAGCAAGGGACATCAAGATCATGATGGGGAAACCTACAAAGACAATCAAACCAAACTCTTGGGCACTCATGAAATTTAGACCAACACCTGTGGAGCCTGCATGAGACTGGACTAGGCCCTCTGCATAGGCGAGACAGTTGTGTAGCTTGATCTGCTTAAGGGGCCCCTTTGCAGTTGGATCAGAATCCATCCCTGGTGCATGAGCAGGATTTTGAAGCCTACTACCAATGATGGGACACCTGGCCCAGCCTTGAGGTGGGGGAAGGATTTGGACCTGCCTCTACTAAATGTACCTCCCCATGGGAGGCCTTGCCTTCTTGTAGGAGGGAATGAGAGGGGTAGGTTGGAACAGGGAGGCTGGAGGGGTATCTTTGACTGGTATGTAAAATAAGTTAAAAAATTCCATAATAAAAAAAAGAAAAAATATTGATGGCCAATTTAAAAAATAAAAATTCCCTGCTCTTCACCCCAGCAAATTGTTTATGGTATGTAGATTATCACATTGAAACAGAAACAAACTAAAACAATTAAGATAAAGAAACATGGAAACATGGTAAAATCAGCTTTTCCTGGGATTATTCACAGCCTAGACTTACCTGCCTCTTAGTTTCTGTTTTTCTAAAATGAATAAATAAATAAATGCTTTGTGTATTTTATTGTATATTGCTATATTCATTAATCTACAAAATAATTATGATTTAATGAAAAAAAGCCAAACATATATATATATATACGTATATATATTTATATACGTATATATATATATATATATTTCAGACATGAGAAGAAATATTATCCCTGTATTATTTTACTTTGGAAGATTTAATTGTACTATGTACTCAAATATGAATAATAATTATTAAATCATAATCACTTGAGAATGAAGTACATATTTATGAAAGCTAGTTTTCACTTTCATTCCAAATGTAAGAGTTACACATGAAATGATTGTACTTTTATTTAATAAACTAGGATTTACTTTTATTTAAATTCTGGTATTTATTATATATTTTTAATAAAATAGAATTTATCTTATTTAATGAAATAGATGTTTGAAAATAAATTATACATAGTTAATTTTGAGCATATATTTTCTTTTTAGCCTGGAAATCTTCTGTGAAGGCAAAATGATATGATGCAGGATAGAGGTACAATCTCAAGCAAACAGAATGTGAAAATATATATACATTTGACCAAAGCAATATTTGACATACATTTAAATCACCATTGCAAAGTTACCTTCTTTTTTTAATTTAATTTAATTTTATTTTACAATACAATTCAGTTCTACATATCAGCCACGGATTCCTTTGTTCTCCCCCCTCCCGCCCCCCTCTCCTTCCCCCCAGCTTACCTCCTATTCCCACCTCATCCAGGGTAAAGTTACCTTCTTAATGACAAAAACACTAGTGTTGTTCCTGTAGAAGTTTAGTATAGAATTTGTATTTTAACGTTCTCAAATTCTAGAAAATAATAATTTGAGGGGAAGACAAATTATGAATAAGTTAGAACATTTCCAAATGGAGTAGTAATGTATTTTATATTCGTGTTTTTGAAAAATTTGTGTGTACTATCCTGAATGTAATAATACAAATATAAGTACCTGCTCATTATCTTTCGAACAAAAATTCTTTTCAAGTATATTCTTTTCAGATAGAGCTATAACTAGCTCAATTCAATTTATTTTTATATTGATGGTTTACAAAAAGTATCATAAAATATGTTTTAGAGAGAATAAAGCCACAAGAAATATCTTATTATACTGCATGCAATGTCTGGTGTATACTAAGTGAAGAAAAAAACTTTCAGACAAATTGTGAGATAGAAAGAGCATATTGAAACTTAAGATAGTTTCTTATTAGCAAAAACTTTCATTTGATTTAAAAAATGATGGAAATTTAAATGAACATATTTTCATTAAAAAAGAGCAAAAATAAGTAAGAGGCTACATTATAACAAAGTAGCTCAATGTCAAAGAATAGGATATTCAGAAACATGAGCATATTTCTTTCAGTTCAGCTATAGTATTTTTATTAGTTATTCACTCATTTAAATAAATATATTAATATATTTACATAACTTAGTTATAACTGCAATAATTACAGAAGTAATACAGTGCTCCAAAGGAACAAATAACTCTTTTAACTCACCATTATTCCCAAATCTCAGTTGAACTGTTCTAGATCCTCACAGTTCTGACTGTTTACAAAAACAATATGAACTGAAATAAGCTATAGTACATTATGTCTGACATCTTTCTTCCCTATCATGGCTTTGATGGTTGTGCATATTTCAGTCCTCCCTTTCCATGTGTTGCTTAATTATTTTCATATGATTTTTTTCCCTGTATAAACATGACTTGAAAATTCAAGAATAAGTGTTTCATTGATGAATTCATACTCTGAGTTTAAATATTGGAGTGGAAAGGCTGAGCTACATCATATATGTATGAAATAAGTAAATGAACCATTTCTTTTCCATACTTATAACACATTTTGTTGTTGTTGTTTTCTCACCAGAGGTTATACTGGAAACCACTCATAGGAAAAAAAATCTTCAGGCAATATACAATGGCAAAGAAAGGGCAATTCAGTCCTTCTTTGGGAAGAACCCCTCAACCGGATATCCAATACCAAAAGGTTAGCCCTGAAATCATATGCATAAGCAATATTAAATGGATTCAGGAGGTTGATATTTATATATTTATGTACATATATATATATATATGAAATATTATATATAACAATAAAAATCAAAGAAAAGGGACAATCAATTTGAGGAGGAGTTGAGCCACAGGAGGGATTAGAATGAACTGGTTCTTTTTTTTTTTTTTTGTTTTTCGAGACAGGGTTTCTCTGTGTAGCTTTGCGCCTTTCCTGGAACTCACTTGGTAGTCCAGGCTGGCCTCGAACTCACAGAGATCCGCCTGGCTCTGCCTCCCGAGTGCTGGGATTAAAGGCGTGTGCCACCACCGCCCGGCCGTGCGCCACCACCGCCCGGCAATGAACTGATTCTTAATGTGTGGGTTGCAACCTTTATGGAGGTCATATATAGATATCCTGTATATCTGATATTTATACTGCGCTTTATAACAGTAGCAAAATTATGGTTATGTTGTAGCAACAAACTAATTTTATGGTTGGATCACCACAAGAGGAGGCACTATATAAAAAGGTCACAGCATTAGGAAGGTTGAGAGCCATTGAAGTAGAGGAAAGACAGTGAATAAAGGTAAAAATGTAATTATCTTTTAATTAAAATTAAATCACATAGACAAACATACACAAAGGGTTTAAATACTTAGTTGTTTAAGTAAGAAGACCTGTAAAAAGAAAACATCTTAAAATTAATGAATTAAATAAATCTGAAGTAAAAAAAAATCCACATAGAACCATTGGCGTTGTACAAAATTAACAATAGTTTACAAAATGTAGAAGAGATATTAGTGGATGTGGAAACTGAAAGCAGAAAATAAATTACATTAATTGAGCAAGAGCTCAATTAATGATACTTGTCATATTTATTCTTAGGTTCATATATCAAAGTGCTTGAACAAAATACTTTGTTTTACAATACAGTGAAGAGGTTTAAATAAGATGTTACCATGATGATGTATTACAACATCTACATTTACTAGGAGTGGAATATTGCACTGGACTGTGCCATGTGTTGCTTTGTATTACTGAGGGAAAAATAAGCAATCTTATTTAAGAGATAGATATTATTATACTCAATCGTAATCAGATATTCATTCCACTAAGCATTATTACCTGTGTTCACAAGATGACTCTTACAGTCTCCCTCTGGAGTGCACACACTGGGACAAAGCTGGAGCATTTTCAGTAAATAAACATTATGGACATCTTAAGGCTATGATTTCCAAAGTTAGAGAGGATTAGTTTATCAGACAGTCTGCTCTGTTTCGTGAGTTTACATTTAGTCTTGTACGAAAGATTGAATAATGAATACAATTATAGCAGTAGGGAGCCTGACAAGACAACCAGAAACAAGCTCATAATTAGGATATTAGATGATCAGAGTGACAGTGATTTTCCTAACATGAAGAACAGAGACAAATGTGTAAAACTGAGATTTATGCTTGAGGAAAACCTAAATAAATTATTTATCACAATTTTCACTGCATTGAAAGTAAATTAATTCTGCCCAAAACACTGAAGACTTAAAACTTGTGTGAAAGAAATTTCTTGTTTACTAGAAAAATCAAAGAGTTTTGAATATTATTCTGTCTAACTATGCCATATCACTTCATTTTGAGAGATAACACAGATACAGTTAAAATAGAGTGTGTACATACAGACAAAACTAAGTGGACGCAATAGGCTTGTTTTGTTTTGTTTTGTGTGTAAAGTGATAATAACTGAGGAAGAGGATATAAATTTGAGAGAGTGGGAAAATCAGGGGGTGACTTTGAAGAAGAGGGGAGAAATAATGTAAATATACCAGTCATTTGTGAAATTATAAAAAACATAAAACATTTTCAAAGATCAGTATTGCTCAATAATAACTGCAATTAAAATTCTGCCCATTTTACACAAGTCAGTCTATGCTGAAGTTCATTTTCACTATTTTGCTTCCCCAAATCCATCAGGAGAGAAGAGGATGCTGGCAAAGTCACACTAACATCATTGAAAGTCCTTTAAAGCCACTTCATAATAGTGTAGACAGAGTACAGTTCAATGTATTTAAGAGTGTGGACTTAGAAGCTAGGTTCTCTAGGTCAAAACTCTCATCTTGTTAAGTACTATTTGAATAATAGCAGGCAGACTGCTTAAGGTCCATTCGACCATGATTGTCTCTCTGCAAAATATGACTACATGATTTATTCAATGATTAAATGAGTAGAGAGTTACAAAGTTGCTAGGCAATTTGTAGCATGATATTGAAATAATAATTGTTTCATTCTGTTTTTCTAATACAAAATGTTCCCTGCAGGTTCATGTTTCAACCCATAGTCCCCAGGTAGTGGTACTGTTTGTAAAGGCAATGGGACTTTCATGTGAAGCCTGGCTGGAAGAAGTATATTACTTGACATGGGTCTTAAGGTTTTATAACATGATCCACTTCTTGTCCTGTGTTTTCTGAATTCAGATGAAATATAATCAGCCAGGTACCAGTCCCACTGCCATGCCATCTCTGCCTAGTGATGTGTCTTCTTTGCGATGATGTACTCCACAGCTTCTAAAATAAATTTAGAAAAAAAAAAACATACATATTATCAAATAACCCTACCATGAATCATTCTGTGGGGTGAAAGGAGAAAAGAAGATGGAGAGACACTCAGTATACTTTGGGAGGAAATGCATACAATGTCAGCAAATACATGAATATGGAAAATGAGTTTTCCAAAAGGTATTCTAGCAGACTTTATGTCTGCTAACAGCTAAATTGTACATATTTTAAAAAATTCAGAGAAACATTTACTGTTCCCCAACTGATTTTGCTTGCATGTTTAACAAAGTCCTGGGCAATGGAATCATTTGTAAAGGCATAAACAAGAAGCTTCTTCAGTTAAAATGCAAAACCATCCAAAAACTACACATGTTGGTTAAATTTGATGTTAAGAAATATCTCACATCCTTCTCCAGAGTCTATCTAGGCATTCTATCTGCCACCACTCACAGGTACCTTTTGCTCTGCAACCAACTTCTTCGTCCAACAGATCTAACATACACTTCTCCAGGGTCTAGCCTGGAGAGTCTCTCTGACCCTCTCCATTAACACACACTTACCAACTCCCCAGATTTAGCCAAGATCCAACATTCTATTCCAGCTTCCCCTACCAGTGCCACATCAAATCTCTAAAAATTAGCCATGGCCCTCTCTAACTACCATTCAACCCACAGGCCACTTCCATGACGTGTATTCCATTTCTATTCAGCCATAACTTCTCCCACACTAGTCTTGGGCAAGGAGACACATTCTATACACTATTCAGGTACTATCTATTCACCTTACTTCATTTCATCTGAGCCATTTAGTATCTTTAGGCCCAACCTACCTGCACCTGGTCTCTTCTTTCCCAATCTGCAGACTTAGAATTAGTAAAAAAGTCCCCATGTTCAGATCTCATTATGAAAATACCAGCAATTTGTAATATGACCCCAGTAACTTCTATCCAAAATCTAATGTCTTATCAAAATATTTGCCAATAATAATTATCTAGATGAACACCAGGGAACAGATTTTAAAATAACAATCAGAACCTGTAGTCAGATTTTTCTGTCCCATCAGCCAGCTCCCAAATAACCACACAGAGATTTCTTATTAATTATGAAAGCTTGGCTTATAGCTTAGGCTTGTTTTCAGCTAGCTCTTATAACTTAAATTGACCCATTTATGTTAATCTATGTGCTACCTCCGAGGCTCATTTAACTCATCTACAAAGTGCCCATTCTGCTCTCTCAGCATCTCATGGCATCTCCTGGCAACTCTACCCTTCTTCTCCCATCATCTTCTGCCTAGCTGTTGGCCATTCAGCTCTTTATTAAACCAGTCAGAGAGACATATCTTTACACAGTGTAATCAAATATCTTGAAACAATAAACTTCATCAAATAATTCAGGAATTTAAAGAAAATATAAGAAGGTATTCAGTGAAATAAAGGAGAATAAACCTACAGATAATAAACAAAAAAGCAATGACAAAAACAAGACAAACAAATTAAAAAATAAATAAAAAAATACAAGGCAGCTAGAAAGGCAAAAGACCCTCCAGGGCTTGAAAATAAAATTTAAAGGTGATAGAAACACTGCAGAGAATTATGATCAATCTAACTGAAATATGTAAATATTAATTAATTTAGATATGCTTGTTCCATTTGTTAACCACTCCATTAGGCCAACCTATCTTCACAGTTACTTAATTTTAGATACAGTAACATATATCATATGTAAATGTTATGTTGGGTATATAAGACATGAAAAGAAATATTTAGATAAAGATCATGATGAGTAATAGTTTTGATATTATCAAGGAGTTTTTTTTTCTTAGTTGCCTTTGCCAGCTGTTCCTCTATATTTAAGCCTAAGGTCATATCTACTACTTGGCTTCATTGACACTAGATTCCAGGAATGATAGTTTATGCTATGAGGGACTTTACTGTATTTAATGAATAATATTTTGACCCCCACATGCACAAAATGGGATGCTTAGTAGGAGTGGGGTGGGGTCTGAGAACAATAGCTCCCAAAAAGAAGTCCTACCTCCAAAGACTGATTGATTGGAATGCATTGTTCCAAGAATGTTCTGGCTGGGGTCAACAAGGTGGGAGGTGAGCTTCGGTTTCTCAGGTTTCCCTTGTTATCTTTTATCCCTGCCTGGAAGCTAACCCCTTGTTGTGATGTGACCTGAGAAATGACAATGGGAAGCATTGAGGATGAGCCAATTGGACTGAAAAACTTTCCAATCATTAACCTATTTTCTGCTTGACAGTAACCCATTTCCAGTAACCTGGTCCTCCTTTTTTCCTATTTAGCTTAAGCTCTCACACATAAATTTATAAGTTTCTTTCTAAAATTAGTCATCTGTTGTCTATGAATTTCAATTTTTAAATTTATGAAACAAGAGCATGAAGCTCATTGACTTAGAAAAAGAACCTGGTTGACCATGAGCATCTGGTATACTTACTTCTGACATACAGCCATCTGAGGAGAGACAGAAAGTGTCCATCAAATTTGAGGTTACTCCACTGTTCCTCTGTCAATCCTACCTAGAGAGTTTAGTATCTAGGCCAAGACGTAATTTATTCAGTTAAACAAGGAAATTACCCATCCTTTTTAAGCAATTCAGTACCATGTGGCCATAAAAGTCATGTTGCTTTGCAAGCTGATTTGCAGCAAAACCAGTTTACACTTTGCTCTTTGTCCTAAAATATAAAAATAGAAACAGAACAAACAAGATAGAAATATCAATGTTATCATGGCATTTAACATTCTAGCACTACTTTATAATCAAATTATCATAAGAATAATATGAAGGTGTACCATGTATCTTCGACAGCTCTTCACTGAAGAGATGCTTTGCTAATGACTAATGAAAAGGCAAATGGTTAATTATAGAATGACAGCCTCTGAGCAGCAAATTTAGTGCTTTCATTTCAGCAAGAGATTGTTACTGTCTCAGAATTTGCAATGGTCCTGCCTTTTCTCAACCTGAAGAGCAACGTAAAACACGTCTTTACTATTTTGATTATGAAGAAGGTTGGCTGCAAAAACACTGCATGAGTCACATTCAGTTTAATTTGTTGTAAATCAGTCTCACGAAAGAACATTTCTGCTTAAGTACTCAATCTCCTTTAATAAAATGAAAGTTCTTTTTCCAGGCTTTTCTCTAAGGACAGCACCATTCCCAATTGCACAAGGTCAGATCCCTGTTTTCTAACCATGCACATACCCCTCCCTCCCTTCCTCCCTCCCTCCCTCCCTCCCTCCCTCTCTCCCTCCCTCCCTCTTTCCCTCCCAAGTCATGTGGCAAAAACCTCATGCCCCTGCCAGATCCCATACATGCTGCTAAGTACCCAAACAGCTCCCAGAGTAGCCAGTTTATGCTGCTGCATCTCTTATTACTCCCACTGCTTACAACTAGTGCATGGGAGTATAAGAGAGAGGGGGCACAGCTTCGTGGCAGGCTGAACCCCCGCCCTGCAGCTTCATTTGCCATGTGCAGTCTTCCCCGCCACCCCCCACCGGTGCCCACCTACCCGCTTGAGTTCGGCCCAAGTCTCCATGGAGCCAGTTGTGGCGGCACTACAGTAGGATTTGCTTGGTAACTGTTTTAAACCCAAAATAGGTCAAGGTCTTCAGATCACACTTCATTACCTGTTTCGGCACTACAGGTCTGACCCCTGCTGGCCGAACCGTGATACTACACCTGAAAAACCATCAAGAGAACTGGGATACCAGCTCTCAAGAATTCCCTTTAAGGTACAATTATTCAGTAATTTTACACCTTAAACTGATTAATAAATAAACAAGTTAATAAAATTTTTCTTTACAAATTTTGAATATTTCTCAAAAAAATGGCAGAAAACATCACAGCATAGGAATTTAAAACCCCTGTTGTTTGCCTTATGAATGAAATTTTAGGGAACATATAGGACCTTCCTAGAATGTATATGATGTTCACTATAATGGCAATTAGCATAGTGGTTCACATCTTATCATTGAAATATTGGCTTAATAATAACAGCAAAAGTGAGACATTAATGGGACTGATACAGGCCTTAGTAGGTAGTAATGAAGACTTAAATAAAGGATTCTTTCTTTGGAATCTGGTAACTTACTACAAGAACTTCAGTCCATTAATAATAACTGGACAACCAGATTTAGTTGTATGGATAATAAGTATGAATACTTAGTGGTTAAAACAATAACTCTTCAGAGCAATCTTAATGTGATTCAGATACTTTATAAGGAGGAAATATCATCACTAATTAATAAAATAAAGTCTGTGGAATCAAATGTTTCAGAAGAACATAAAAAATTGTATGAATCCATGAAATCTCTGGAATCCTTTACAACAGAGGAGGTTCCAGTGCTGTGAAAGGCAGTAGCCAATCGATTTCAAGCTCTGGAAGTATCTCTCAGTAAAGATAACAAAGAAAGTAATAAGCAAAGGGACAGGACATACAAGTCGTAACATTACTGGGTGGCTCTTTTAAAATGGCTTATGCTGTCACTATCTGTGAGAAGTCAGCAGGTAATAAACATTTGAGCCATATGTAGAATAGACCTTGCACCCTATTCATATGAGAGATTTAAAAATAATTAAGGAAGTCCCTTCTGAGAAGATACAAAGAGGAAATTATATTAATTACTTTGGATATAAGGTAGATCTCCAAAAAATTAAACCTCAAAAGGTATCACTCAGCACAGATTGATTGAAAACTCTTAATGATTTTGAAAAAAAAAATTGTTAGGAAGCATTTCCAACTTATAGGCTATCATTGAATACCTAAAGATGAACGAGTAAATTTGGCTAATATCCTAAATGGAGACAAGGACTTAAATAGTCCAAGAGAATTATCAGCTGAATCTGAGAAAGAATTGGTTCTAGTAGAAAAAAAATATGAGAAGCACATGTGGATTGTGTGATTCCCGAACTTAACTGCATTCTAGTCATATTACCTTCTAGACAATACCCCACAGGGATTTTGATGCAGAAGGGGAAGATATTATATTGGAATAGATATTTCTACCATGTAAATTATGTAAGAAATTTAAAACTTATGTGAAAAAGATTTCTGATTTGTTTCTAAAATGAAAATTAAGACTTCATCAATTGACAGGAACAGACTCAGTGAATATTGTAGTACCCTTAACTAATGAGAAGTTTTCCTCCTTATGGAAAGATAATGAATACTGGCAAAGAGCCTGCAGTATCTTTTTGGGAGAGATTAACAATTGTTTTCCCAAAAGCAAGAGAATAGAATTTTTTTTTTAAAGAACTGGATGGGTTCTTCTTCACATTGTATGGCAAAAGCCAAACTCTGGAGTCCTCATATTCTAAACTGATGCAAATAAATCAGAAAAGGCAGGATATAAATCAGGACACTTAAGTAAAGTGATTCAAAGGTCCCACAATTCTGAAAAATGGCAGAACTGTATGCCATTCTTATGGTACTAATGGACTTCATGGAACTGCTCAATACAGTCATCGACTCTCAATATGCAGAGAATGTTGTTTTACATATTCAAACTGTTGAATTTTTTCCTGATAATATGGATTTAGCTTCTCTATACAATCACAGGAAAACATCAGAAATAGGGATATATATATATCAGGTCTCATACAGGTCTGCCAGGTACCCTAGAACAAGGTAATAATGCGACTGATCAGTTATTAATAGGTAATGTGCTAGAAGCCTCAGAATTTCATAAGAAACACCATGTGAATAGCAAGGGTTTGAAGAAGGATTTTTCCATCACTTGGCAAAAAGCCAAGGAAATTGTAAAAAAAAAATGTCCTACTTGTTCCTTTTATAACCAAACTACTTTACCTGCAGGAAGTAATCCAAAAAGTATACAGAGAAATGAAATTTGGCTGATGAATGTGTTTCATTTCACAGAATTTGGAAGATTAAAATATGTACACCATACTATTGACACCTATTCAGGATTTCAATGGGCAACTCTTACGAGTTATGAAAAGGCTGACTCTGTGATTGTAAACCTGTTAGAAGTATGGCCATCATGGGAATACCTGTATAAATTAAGGCTCCAGCATATACCTCAAATAAAATGAGACAAATTTTTGAGTATTATAATATAAAGCATATTATAGGCATACCACACAAACAGGCATAGAAAGATCTAATCGAACTTTAAAGAATATGTCAAATAAACAGGAAGAAGTAACACTGACCCCTAGAAATAGATTGCATAATGCTTTATTAACCTTGAATTTTCTCAATGCCGATGAGAAAAGGACAACAGCTATGGAGAGACATTGGACGACACAAAAAACTCCTGAGCTAAACCAACAGGTTTACTTCAAAGACATGTTGACCTCGGAATGGAAACCAGGACATGTCCTACATTGGAGAACCATTTTGCCTTTGTTTCTAAAGGAGAAAAAAAACTATGGATACCAACAAAATTAATAAAACTTCGATTTGTATAGGAGAAACCTTGATGAGGAGAAGTAATAGCTCACCCACCAATATGACTACATTTTGTATTGTATGAGTTGTAAGAAAAACTTAACAAACAAGGGATGAGACAGGGTTCTGTTTTTTTTTTTCTTTACAGGATAATAGAAACACCTATCTTCCAAAAAATATCATAAGACCTTGGATACCCAGACATCTACAGAAGAAGAAAAGAACCTATTGGTAACAATATACACAGAGTAATATCTCACTACCTAACATCTGTACTCTAGAAAAGTTGTGGTCCTGATTCAATTATAAATCAAGCCATCTTTGGAGTTGATATGTGGCTCTCTCCTCTAAACTCAAGCATGTTGCTAAAAGAAAAATTTAAGAGATTCTGTCTCATATCAAAAGAGCCTTCTGCTGTGGGACAGAAGAAAACCAATAATCTAGGGATCTTTGTCATCAAGATTCTATTTCTTTCCATGTTTGTCCTTACTTTCAGAGAATCATTTCTCTATGCAGAATAAATTCAAACTTTTCATTTTGATATTAATAATGTTCAAGTTTTCCACAATTAAAGAATAAGTCTTTTCAATAGCAGTTTCTGGAGCTTCTGGAAGGAAGATGGGGACCCACAACAATGACTTTACCCAGTCCAGAATGATGCCAGGATGCCCATGAACATTACTCAATGATCAACTTTGGACTAAAAACTCTCCAGGACAGTTCCAAGATGAGGTGGTCCATCATAATATACTTCTAGCCAGAATCTCAGACAACCTTATCCATTACTCTAAGACTGGCTGCAGAATCTACCTAGTCCTATTGAGACCTAACTATCTGAGCTTGAGTTCTTTAGAGGGAGAGAGATTTAGTTAAGTTCCCTTCATAGCTTTGCGAGAGTTGGAGCTGGAGCGAACAAATTTCCCTCTGGCTATGGCCCTCGAGACCTAACTGCTGCTGGTAGTGACAGAGTTGCAGTTGCTGCTTCAGACAGCTGTGGCTTAAAAGGTAGCAACCATTTAATTAAAGGAAAACATCAAATATTTCCAAAAATTTCTTGTGTGTATTTCCCATTTTCTCAGATATTATTATATTCCTTCTCAGGTCTTTGATGGTGTTGAAGACTAACAGTAACAGTTACAATCTTCTCATATCTTAGCTAGAACATATTAAGTACTAGATTCATATTCTTCAGAATTTGACAGCTTTTTGAATAATCTCTGCAACATGCCAATTACCTATATAGTCTAGACATATCTGGATTCTACTGTATGTCTCTTGTTTGATATTGTTCTTGTTGATTGTAGTTGTATTTTGTTTAGGTCATCACCCTTTATTTTTCCTGGACAACACTTAATAATCGTTCTTATTGTATATGGTTTTGTTTTAGGTTAGAATTTTCTTATTTAGACAAAAAGGGGAGATGTACTGGGTAGCTATTCTAGCTATGATCTTAAAGCACTGCCACTAGTGGCTAAGTAGCAGGTAACTATTACTCCTGCCTGTGACCTTGAAGTACATGCCCCTGTGTCATGGGCACTCAGGATTCTCAAGACCTGGGATGCAAGTATGTGGCACACTTCACTCCCTTGTGATTTTGGATGCTGAGACTGACCAGGTAGATCTTGGAGGAAGATCAGCAAGGGACATAGCTCAGCTTTCCTGGACCCTAAAATAAATACCTGTGCTATCATGACTTAACCCCTAATAAATTCCCTTGCTCATTAAATAGACTCCATGGATTTCTCACATTAAACAGACACACACAGAGAGAGACA